AAGAAGAAGAAGAAGAAGAAGAAGGAGCAGCAGTTCCAACAAAACCTCTCAATAGCAAAATAGTCTTGATGGAAGAAACATGTGTCAGAAGACTGAGGATGCTAAAGAGGTCCATCCAAATCCCAAGCAGGAGCCCTGATCAGCTCAGTCGGCCAACCTGGACTTCGAACCGACGTTACAAGTCTGCTAACCTACTAGCAATCCTTGTTGTATGTCTCGGAAGCCCTAAAGAGGATTAAACAGGCTTGATTTAGCTTGGACTTAGCACATTATGCTTAAACAAAAACATAGTACGTCTCAAGTGCTTAGGATATAGCAACTAAGTCAAACAAAGGTCACTTGGACTTAGGTTGGACTTATGGGGGAAGGGTCACATGTTCGATACGTATCCCCTTCAAGAGGGAAATCTGTCAGAAGATTTTCTGACACATATCCATCATCAAGACTAAAGTAAAATGAACATCTGTCAGAAAGTTTTATGACACAGATCCTCTTCAAGCCTAAAGTAAAAGGGACTACTAATTTAAGCATGTCTAAGAACAGCACAAAAGCCATGCTTTCGGAGTTGGGGATTTGCAAGTCCAATCTTCGCCTTTGAAGCTTTGTTACTCAGCGAACCCATGACAACAACACATGGGAACTGGCACCGCCACCGCCGACGCGAAGAGATCGAAGAAGGATCTCGTCCGGCGCCTCCTCGTCGAACTTCTTCTTCTTCGCCGAGCGGCTCTCGACGTGCGGATCTGGCGCGGCGCTCGACGTTGAGTCGCGTCGGATCCGATGTGCCGTTGAGTCGCCGAGTCGCCAAGTTGAAGACTTTGGACACAAGTCTACCACCTTCAGTCAGTCTCTGTGGAGTGACCTTCAGTGGCCTTAGTGGACTGGCCTTTTAGTGACCTCATCGACGTGATCTTGGGGATGAGATTTCCCTGTCCCGTTGGTCACTCTGGGACGTCTAATATGTCTACCGGCCTCGCGGATGAAAAGAATGGCCACGGAGGTCAACACAGCTGGGTTTGTGGGACCAACGTTGCTAAGCAAATTCCAGCTGCAGGAGCGGTTGCAAATTCATTCAAGAGTTTACCTCGGAGTTGCTATGCTTTAGCATGTGTTCTATATGTCGCAAGCACGAGCTGATCTATAGTCTTGAATTGTGGAGCTTCGACTATGATAGTAGGCTTGGCTTGCAGCAGTATAAGGGCACATCAGGGGCCAATGTCTCGATATATTCATCATCACCGGGTATGCCGCAATAACTCCTTTATTTGCTTGTGTTTGAAGACTCTGAACTACAACCCGCAGAGTTTCAGTCTGGAAACACACGCATCTTTGCGACGGTGGTAGAAGCTGGATATGTGGATGTGTGATGAGCCATGGCTCAGTTTGACCCCTACCTGGTTTCCGGATAGGCAAAGAAAACCCAGTCGAGAACCTAAATATAGCTCAATCCAGCTAATACCACTATCATCCACTCTATGATATATACATTCATAGTCATCTTGCCATGGCCTCGACCTTGGCTGCCTCGCTGCGCCGCGTGGTGGATCACATCTTCGGTGCTTGGTCGACGTCTGGGGCCTGTTGAGCTCGCTTTCTGCGCCGCGCCGAACAAGTCGTCTGAGCCAAACGAGTGGTACCACGCCGCCGGCACGGGGCTGATGCCCTGGAAGCGACCTTACACCTGATCACACGTCCGTCCCGTTGATATAAGCCGCGGAAGCCTGAGTCCTTGGACTCAGGACCGGCTGGCCTTCGGACAGAAGCTGCTTGCGCGAGCAGGCTCCTCTCTTATCTGGCCTCCCCAAACCTGGCCGTTCTAAGCTTGAAGGAAGGAATGCCTTTGGCCAAGGGCTTGGAGTTGACCACTGCGCCAGGAGAAAGCTCTACGCTGCTCCAAGTGCTACACTGCCAGCACCGGGCCAGCATCAATCTATCCTTCCAATAGTCTGCCCAAATCTGGCGGTTGAATTCTTTACATTCTCGGAGTCGGCTTCTATTCTATAGTAGTCTGGGCACGTTCAATGAATTCAAATCCAACTTCTCCCAGAATAAGGGCTCTGCAGCAGATCTTAAACTAGTCCGGTGTCTTCTCCACCTCGCTGATCACACTAATTGAGAGGGCAAAATCAACGATGGTCCTTAAGCCGGCTTATGGTAATATAGTCATATAGTTTATCTGACCCGGGAGCCTGGAAGTCAACATGTTTCCATTGGTTCCTGCTTGTCCCGTAGGAAAACCCATCCCCGCACGCATGTTCAGGATTATAGCTGAAGATCTTGTTTGATGAAAGGATTGGACTCTGCGGACGTTCGATCATGACAATCGTCGACTACTGATTGTCGACTCGTTCTCTTCAGTTCCATCTGTGCTTGAAAGGCTTGGATTTGCTTAAGGAACCAGGAAAATAACAGCAAAGCATTGATTAATGTTAATTATGACATATTCCATCATATTTTTCACAAGAAGGGCATTTCCATCCATTCTCCCCAAAGTGCACATCAAAGTCACCCGTCACAGGTCAAGCAATACCGGCCGAGCCGGTCCGGCCCGACCTTCCTCACCAGGCCGTAGAATGGGACGATCCAGTCGTCCTACATCGAGGGAAGGCACGTTGCAGTTAACAGCATGAACATATCACGAGGCGAAGAAGCGAACTCTTTGGTCTGGTGGATATCTATAACTACTCCAAATCGATGTTCAGAAATGGTCGGACTTATGGATCATCTGAGATTCGATGAATGTTTTGTTTGAATCTGAGACTTATTGCATCTTCTTGCCATGTTGCGGGCTTTTGTGGATCCACCCTCTCTCTAAGAAGTTTGCATCACTTCAAGAAGGGAGGTGACGTGTGTATGCTTGACAGTAGGTACACTCCGATGACGATCACATCACATGGAAGTGGAAACCACTCTGTTGGCACAGGAGGATCGTCATCTGCCAGAGGGTAACCCAAAGCAAAGAGAGTCCCCGAAGAGGGGGGGTGTCTTCTCAGGACCGATGCGGAAAGCAACACCGATCAAGCAAATCCTTGGACCCGGGTCTGGACACACCAAAACCGTTGTCCATTTGGAGCCCGGAGGTCGACCTTAACAATACTCTTCCACCCAAACACTCCGTTCACAGCACCTTCCCGGACCCGGGATGGGTTCGGCTCAAGAGCTCCGTTCACCCGACCGGGTCCCCTGACCGCCGGCGGCTTTTCGCCGGTCGCACCGGACCCGTTGCGTCGGTCGCGGCTTTTTCGGCACCGGCTTGGCATCCACGGACAGCGGTCGGTGCGAGTACACGGCAGCCACTCAGTGGCTGCATGAGTTGAAGACACAGGCACAGGCTGCATGAGTTGAAGAAGGGACCGGTGCTAAGCACTGCCTGATCAAGTCCATAAAACATTAGAGTGTACCTGCAGCGGGACGATTCAACTGCAGAGTAGAGGTTCAACGTAGTCTCTTGGAATCCCGAAGGGGGTTAAACAGTTAGACTCGGGCCAACGTCTGAGAGCGAGGACCCCAGAGCAACTTGCGAGAGCGAACATATGCGCTAGCCCCCTTTCACACAAGTCCCATAGATACCATACAGATCCGTGGGGAGTTTGGGTAGAAAAAGGAAGGTTTCTTACCCAACTGACTGAAAACCGACCCATTGAACAGCTTCTTCTCACCAAATCCCTTGTTATCCCTTGTTCAGTTCCACAACTCTCATTTTGACATTGAGATTCTACGGATTGGATGATATCTACATGGCTACATGGAGACCAAGTATGATCCCCACCTGGCGCTTTTACGGCGATCGTGCACTGATGGATGTCGGCTCCAGTGCCGCCTGTGCCTTTTTAAGTCAGATCAACCTCCTTTGGAGGTTGAAGTGACTCTGGAGGAAAACGTTCTTTCCCGCGCCCAGCGCGACGTCTGGCTCCCTCATCACACACAAAACAGCTCAAGTCCGCATCAGCTCATGATTGTGCCCATGTCCTGTATTCCTTCCTACTCAAACCCTCCAAACAGCCCGACCGGCCCCTGAAAACCTTAAAAACATCTAAAAATGCATGGACACCCTAGCCTAGACCTCTGACTCGAGGATTCAAGTCGAGGATTCGAGTCCGAATGTCTCCAAACAGTTCGGGTCCGGGGTTGCTCCAACGCTGTTAGCTGCTTGATGCTTCAGCTGAGACCGTATGATTCAGGTGACCTGCAGGGCCCTCAACGGCCCGAGGCCCAAGAAAGTCAACAACCTGGCAACTGAATATTCTGAAAGCTGGTTCTCAAACCACTTCTGCTTGCTCATCGAATACAAACAGGGAAAACATGTAGTCTCCTCATTTGCTCATCCTTCAATCTGAGAATTTCTCAGCTGGTGATCTTCAATCCCCAAAAAACGTCTCGCAGAGTGCCCATCGCGACTGGCGCCGGGCGCATTGATTCCAACGTCATTCGTGGCGCATGGAGCATGGCATTCCATTCCCGAGGAGAGCATCTCAATCACCTTCACGCAGGACCGGGCGACAGACTGGGCAGCCCAGGCCATCCATATGTATGACATAGATACCTACATTAGAGTCATAAATACTCTGAAATGATGGTAAATGATGGTAAATGCAACTATTCCATACATGAATTGGATGGTCTGGGCAGGGTCATCTGGTAGCTTTGACTATTTCAGAGACCAACAACACCGGTGCTGGTGATCCTGGGGTTCCCCTTCTAGAGCTACATGGATCCAACATAAAACAGCACAAATGAATACAAATGCTAACAGGAACAAACATGATGATTCATTAACTAATATCGAATCACATGGCCAAGAGATAAAGGAGTCTGCCGCATTCTGCCCATGGAGCTGATTCACGGATTGGAAGACCGTGGGCCAGTGGAGTCGACCCTCGACCAGACGTGCAAGTTCTGTTTTCAACTGGCTTCTGACGTGTGCACGAAATGGTTGTAATTCCAAATCCCTAGGGCTCCAGTCGTACCTTCTAAGGAGGTGGGACTGGGGTGGGTTTAGAGAGTCCAAATACCTTCTGAGGAGGTACGACTGGAGCCCTAGGGAATAGCTCCAAGGTGAACAGTAGCTTTGTTTGTACACCATGCTGTCACATCCGGGCCCTTCGATGTGACAGCTTGGGTCCCGAGTAGCTCGACAGAAAAACACCAGACCAGACAACTCGAGTTTTCTGGAAAAAAGAACATGCGTTGGGGCAACCGTGTGATGTTTCTTGGTTGAAGGGATTGTTGTATTTTGTATGTTGATATAACAGCTGAACTATATCAGGACCCTCCTGGAAGCCGAGGCCGGCTGGATCCGTGTGGGGTCGTCCAGCCAGGACACCCCTGTCGGGTCGGAGGGTGTTGTCCGATGTCTTGGGATCTTGGCCTCCACAAAGGACCACCGTTGTCTGTGGAACGAAAGGGACACGTCAACGCAGAAACGCTCCAACCATTCGCAAAGAACACATATGATACTCCAGGGAATGCACCAACTCTTGCTCCCTGCTACCTGGCTCAAGGTCACATCCGCAAAATGTCACTTGACCGCCGCCGCCCCTCGCACGGCCGTGTCGACGTTTCCCGCCGCCTCCGTTCAGCGTCGTGCCGGGCTTGGAATCCAAGTAGCCTAGCAGCGGTGGCCGGAACGGTCCCGCCGCGCGCGCCGTCGGTGGGTCGTTTCGGTGGGTCGTTCAGCGAAGGGTTGCTGGTGAAGCTCATCTAAGGCAGTTGAAGAGCATATGGCTGTGGATTCCAAAGAAAGAAACAAAATCCCCTGACAAGACCGACCCTGTGACCGTCACAGGTGTCCCCTCGAACTGGCGGACGGCTGCACGGTGCAACGCCCCACCGAGTCGAAGACCATCGGCCGAGGAGGCCGCGGAACAGATGGGAACGTGGTAGAGAAAAGGAACGAAGCAGGTCTCCACTGAAGTGGATGCTTTCGGACCTCACCTGCGTGTTTTGAGAAGCCACGTGGAACTAAATTGGATCGGATAGCATTGTTACCCAGTTGACTATCACTGTTCTGTGTCCAGTTCACTTGAAAAGCTGGCCATTTGTTGGGTGGATTCGCCATCAACTCGAACGGATCAAATCCAAAAAGGGTCGCCTGTGACCAATCCCGCATGGAAATCAACACTGAGGGAAAAAGGAGCCAAATGAGCCAGGACCTTTGTTGTTGATGGTGGTATGACAGAGCCAAGTATTACCAATTTTAGGACCCAAAAGATCCTAAAGGATCCCAAAGGAGTGTGGCTTGACCACGGCTATCAAGGCTATCAGGGGCACTAATACTTAAGGCCTTAGTTTTCCTGACATGACATGATTCGTCTTTAACTATCTTTACTTCTTGCTGGGGAAAACACTCAGCACGCTTCCTGACCTCAAGCTCTCGTTCGGGTCACCGAGTTCGTGGTTTTTTTCTTTTGACATTTTTCTCCGCTCACTCACGTCACTCCGCGTTCGGGTCTTCGCCTGTGATTCGAGCGAAGTTCATGTCAATGACCCGCTTGAGACCTCGCTGTTCCTGAACCGGACCACGGTGGGAAGGTCGAGAGGGATTGGTGGGATCGAGATCTGATCCTCGGAGACGAAGCAAGGGTCGGTGGCCCTGTCTTTCAAGCTCTTGAAATTATTCCATTCAAAGGTGAGTACCACTGAAGCAGTAGAACATTAAGCACCCCCTTTTACCACATGGGTAGGACTGCACTGGACAGACCTATACATGCGCATATATAACATACAATAACACTATATATATATATATATGTTTTTTTGTTCACCTTTCTGCGGTCACCTCAGACCATCTTAGGAGAGCATCACTGAGGGCAGCTTGCAGACTAACATGCACCCTGAAAAATTGACCCGTGGTCCGTGGTGGACGGCCCTTTTCCTCTACAACCCAGTGGTTTGGGGGGTTCCATGCTTCTCTGCAGTACACGGTCACTGGGTATAGCTGCCAGGGTGGAACGAACCCTTCACTGGATTCGTGGCGAACAGCGAACAACGTGCTTGTCTGACCCAAACCCCTTTCGGAGCGTCGGCCTCCAATTCGCAGGATTCTCTTGTGGGCCCTTCATACACCCCATGTGTTGCCTTTGGGTCCGGATCCAGATTGAAGCAGAAACATCGACATCCAGAAACTGCCCCGCTCACTGAGCCAAGAATCTTGCGCGATCTTGTCCTCAGTGCATCATCCAAACTGTGAACATTCCCCCTACGCCCGCGACCTAGTGACCTAGTCGTCGGGGAGCTTGCACATGGCTGGCCACATGGGGAAGGGGAAACTCGCCGTCTAGATCCGTTCCATGCCTTCAAAAATAGAAAGGTTGTTGAAATATATGTATGTTGCTCTTCCTGAACACAAACACCCAACAATCCTTCGTTGCCTCCTTAAAAACCAATGTGAACATTATAACTGGGGAATGTAGGGCCTGGAAATTCCTGGAAACCCCTAACTTGTAGCACACAAGACTTGTGCAACACTCAACGCACACCCGAGATGTCTTGTTCTTGACACAGCAAAAGACTAGACTGACCCTGCCGCAACAGTCTGCACGAAGTCCTCTCGAGAGTCCCTCCAGGCTCTTGAGCCTCTGACACATTACATCTAAGGCCGCTGATACCCGGCCTTCCAGCAACATGTCTATCGTCGCCGCCCAGTGTAGGGCCTCCCTCGCGACCGGCGGGCTCATGTTCTGGGACAGCTGCTGGCGGCAATACTGTAGTATGATCGATCTCACTCCCGCCTTCTCTGCCTCCGGGAGTGAAGCCCCAAGCTGCAGCATCATCGTCCGCTGGGTTTCCAATACCATGGTTGCTGTTAGCACCCCCGGGTAGCGCCGCCATATTCGTTGAGTGGCCGTCAGAGGTGCGAAGAGTTCTTCTGGTGCTTCCTCCTCCTCTGTCACGGATATGTCTGATGTCCCGAAAACAAAAAATAAACTGTTTGGTCTGCAACACCAGAGTCTGGAAGGGTTGCACCTGTTGCACACTACATGGAATGGAGGGCATAGGTGAAAACCCTTTCTGCGGTTTTCATTAAAGCGAGGCGCAGCGAGGCTGCTCTTCCATGAAACTTCAGAAACTTTTGGTGCAAATTGAGCTACATTGAACTTACCCATAGGATCTTCTTAGTCTATTAATAGTATATTTCCTATGTGATAGTCTAAAAGTCTATATTAGTCTGTATATACTATTTAGCAGCAAACATAGTTTAGTCTATTAGCAAAATAAAACATTGAAACTTTGATGTGTTTTGTTGAAATTTGGTTTGTTGGGTTCGGTTTCTGTGAGAGATATAAAACATTTTCAAAAGATCTCTGAGTATAGAACATTTCAGTTTCAGAGAGGAGAGGTGTCAAAGAAAATACAGGAGAGGTTTCATACAGCGTAATTCAGAGAGCTAGAGTTTCAGACATTTTTGTTCAGAGCGGAGAGGTGTCAGTTTCAGAGAGTGGTTTCAGAGAGGTTTCAGGGAGTTTTGTCAGGAGAGTTTGTCGATTTCAGAAAGCACATTACAAAAAAAACTCATGAGTATTGAAGAGGCTGCTGTTGGAGATGAAATTTCCGAACATTCGAAATCGTGCTTGGAAAATGGTTTTGGTAAAATCTATATTCTGAGAAAGGGACAAGTGTTGAAACCAAAACACGCGAATGCATTTTTTGCGCAAAGTTGGAGTGCTCATCATATCCAGGCAAGGCCAGGAACCAGTTTTAAAGAAAACTAGCTCGTGAGGGCCATGTAGTCTGAATTAAGGCTCAACCTAATCAGGTGCATCGCTCAGGGTCGTCTCTTCGTCATCAGCTATCAAATCGCCGCGTTTGATCAACTCCTTCTCGGTTTTCCGGGCCAATGCATGCGCAGCATTCTTGCTTGGTGCACTTGTTTTCAGGTAGTGCCACTTCGCCAGCAAACCAGGTGTAGACATGGTTCTGAGCATCATTTTCTGCTTTTGAATGACCTCTGCACCCGGCATGGCAAAGTATAAAAGTTCAAGGTACCTGAATTGAGCCTGCGTATCTACAGTTTAATCATTGGGGAAATTGTGGACAAATTGAAAGTGACACATGGAAATATGAAAAATGGACAGGGATTTAGGAATGTGGACGAATGAAAATATGAAAAACGGGAAATGGACAGGAGTATGGGAATTTGGAAATGGACATACACTTTCAGTTGCGTCATGGACAAAAGCTCACTCACTCATGTTTTCCCTTCTGACAGCAGGCCTCCGGGTGTTGTCAACACTTGGCCTACATACACATGCTGTCGAACCCCGTGAAGCAGTGAGACTTCAGCCGCGCACATATTCAAGGGCATCTTGGTGGGCTTGCTTTGCTGCAGCCCGTCCCACATGCTTGTCAATCACATGGTAAGCCCGGCTGGCAAAATTCTTGGCCGACATTGTAAGACCATTTTCATTGTCTCGCCAAGTAACTACTGGAGGTCCTGCCAAATGTTGCCAACGCAGGCCATGGACTTTGGTCCTGGAGGGTGCCAAAAGCCGCCGGCGGGCGCCGCCGCCGCGGGCGCCACCGCCGCGGCGTCACATTGCACCCACCAAGGCGTCGTGGAAGGCTTAGCTTGGGACAAAGCACCTGTTGTTTTTTTCTCGAACTTAGTTTTGACATTTTTGCCGCCAGTCTTCGGCGCTCTGTGCTCTCCCTGTTGTTTCTTAACATCTCTCGAAACCATAACCACCTTGGCTGCATTCGCTGCGTGGGCCACAGCTTGTTGGATAAACCCCATGTGGCCTCCACGCCGATGGCCTTCCACCAAAATTCATGACCGCAGCTGAGCGTCATAACGCTCAAGTCCAAGTAGTGCAACGTAATCCACATGGCAAGGTCTACACAGTGCTGCGCCTGCCACGAAATCACCGGCAGGTGCTTTGGTGGTCTATAAAGTCGACTTTTCGTGACAGGTGCAGAAGATCGGAGTCATTATATGTACAGATTTCGTGGCAGGTGCAGTGCTTTGGACATGGTGGCGGTCTTCGGGGTGCTCTGTTTTCGTGGCAGGTGCAGTGATTTGTGACTCTTGGAAATAGGCTCGTTTTCAAATCGGAGGACGTTTCGAGCGAAAGATTTGTTTTGGCATCTTGAGGTTGTCTTTGGAAGTGCTTTTGCTGCGAATTCGCTGCAGCGCAGGTGGGCAAAAGCCCCCGCAAGCGCACATCCACTGCCAGGGCTTGGGGGCTGGCAGGGAAGATTTTGGGGGTGGGGAGTGGGAATGTGGTTGCTGTTTGCCTGTGCTTGTCCTCACTTTGTGAAACACTGCCACCTGTGTGCGCTGATCACGTTCTGGTCAAGTTCTGTGATTGAGCGCTTGCTGTATTTGCCCACTTGTGTAATCATTTAGCATCCAGTCATCTGCATCAAGCTAAAAGTTCCTTGTGATAGCGCACACATGAGAGCATCCATACGATATCACATATTGAGAACGCATGTTGCAAACACAAAGTCTGGAGATCCAGGAGTTTTGCAGGCTCTAGAGGCCTGATGCCTAGCAACCTAGAGGTCACCTTCCTATAGATTTTGAGTGGCCTACAAGTTTATGCGCTGTCTGCACTTCACGCTCCTAAGTGCTGCGCCTGCCACGACATCGGTCTTGAGACCCGGGTGGAGATCCAAATTGAGAGATCTCTAAATCCATGCCGCGAGGGCCAAAAAGATCAAAAGGTGTGGGAATCTAGCCTAAAGTTCCGCAATCCCCAGTTTATAACCCAGTTGAACCCAATTGACACGTAGCAGCAACAGCAGCAGCAGCAGCAGCAGCACCAGGAGTAGTAGTAGTAGTAGTCGTCGTCGTCGTCGTGGTGGTGGTGGTGGTGGACCCAATTGAGGAGGGGGCCAGGCTAAATCTCCGGACCCAGTTGACAGTTGAACCCAGTTGAGGTAAACTGGGTCAACTGGGTCCGGAGATTTAGCGTGGCCCCCTGTGCGGTCGCAATGAAAAATCATGCAACGACAGCATGTCGGCCATCTGATCATTTAGAATTAAAGAACCTCTTGGTGTCTTGGACCTGTTCATTGCGATTGGTCGTGTTATGCCTAGTCCGTGCCTAGTCGGTAACTCTGGCATTCAAACATTCACAGGCCATACTTTCTTAAAAGAGATTGCTTCACAGGCTTCACACATTCTAATACATACAAATAGAGTCTATAAATAGAGGTACACATACACATACATACAGCGAGAGAGACAGAGAGAGAGAGAGAGAGAGATGCCAGCACTGTAACGACCTGCCGCGGAGCCGGAATCCGAAACACCGAGCCGCTCGAGCCGGACCGAGGGAACCGTCCCCTTCGAGGCCCGTCCTTCCCCTTCGGCGAAGCCACTGGAAATCATGGAACCCACTCATCCAAGTGACTGGCGCACTAGTGACCAGGAACCCTGGCATACAGTGCATGATCTTCGATGAGCTTTACACACAGGCCTTTGTAAAACACGGTACTTCCCAGTTCCTTTGTTCACCTCAGCTCCAAAACGCCATGCCGAACCCGCCCACCCCTTCTCGGCCCTTCTGACTCGGCCGGGGTGCCATGTCCCACGACTTCGCAGCGCCCTTTAGGCGGAAGACGCCATTCACGAACTCTTCCTGGCGCCGCTTGGGGACGCCGAACGCCGGTCGCGGGTCATTTCCGGGGGGCGGGAGCTGGTTGGATTTGGCCCGGATCGGTGGTCTTCTAGTTGAAGCGGATAAAGAGGGTGGAGTGTATGGTAAAAGAGGTAAAGGCTTAGGAGTCGAGCCTGTGAAGCTGTGAGGCTTTGTAACTATTGATCAACTACAGTACAATCTGAAGCCCTGGAGTAGATCACGTCGAAACACTTGTTGAGGACAAATGTCTTTGGGATTGAACCGTGCTGCTTTGGGTGATGGTCTCACGCTGAATGCAACCCCCCAACGGGTTGCAGCTGGATTATGGGTACTTGATAGATCCCCGCCACCTATACCTTCCACGACAGCGTGCATGGCGGGGGTGACGTCGTGGAGGGTGGTGAGACGATGCACGCACCGCGTTTGATGCGCAGACCTCACTATCCACTTGTTGGAAACTCCTTGGGACTCTTCTGCTTTACTGAGCGCACTTTGATGCACATTTTGTGCTGACATGATGTCGAATTTCCCTCACTACTTTCTTTTCTTTTTCCTTGGTCTTGTATAGCTTTGACCTCTCAATTTTGACTGTACAGACTTGATGACTCTACGTTGCCGCGCTCATGTCTAGGTGAACTCCGACGGATCCCAAACCGAGCATGATGAGTGTTGCCGGTCTTTGCTTTGTGCTGACAAGGGCTGCTCGTCCGCTACTCGGAATTCTTGCATTTAATTACTGCATTCCTGCACACTCCGGAACGGCGTTGTGCGGATGGTACATTTGTTTGAGTGATCGAGTGCTAAAGGGTACCCTTTAAGCATCTCCCGGGAGCCTTTACGCGAGATGTATATTTGACTTCTGTCAAGGGGTATACAATGCTCTTTTGTATAGCATTCGCTTAGGCTCATGTCGTCTGATAGACTCTGTCATTTTGGCAAATGTGCGAGTGATCTTGCTGTATGCAAGACTTGCTCTTACAAGCCCCTACTACTTATGGGTACTTGATAGATTGAATTGTTTCCTTCATGCTTCCTCTCATGGCTATATGCCTTGCATTTCTTGTAACGAAGCAAGGTGTCCCATGCCCTATGCCCTACTAGGAACCCTTCCACTGATTTCCCACCTTCACCAGGTCGGACCCGCTGGGTCGTCCACGTGGTTCCATCACCGACCAGACCATGGGATTGGTCAAGGTCATGGGTTGCGTATACCAACCCTGGTAGGGTCCTATATAAGGTCACTGG